TACCAATTAATATCAAGAATATTGCAAAGCATGTGCTAGGAGTTCTAATAAGGAAAGCTAATAATAATAATAAAGCTAATAATAATAATAATAATAATAATAATAATAAGTTGACAGTGGAATCAAAATGTGTAATAAAATATAAAAAATAAGAAGCTTTATTATTATAATTGGTCTATATGTAAAAATTATGAAAATTGAGAAAGATATATAGAGTCTTATAAGGTGTCTAAGAAAATAATCTACAATGCAAAGATTTTAGCTTTTAATGATTTAAACAATAGATTAGATTCAAAAAAGGGGCAATATATATATAAGAATTATTATAGGTTCTTCCACACGTATCCGATTTATACAAGAATTATTGTAGGCTACTTCCACACGTATCCAAAAAAAATCAGATGAATGGTATATACCCGTGATTTGGTCTTGAGAAATCTCTATGTAAACTCAGATAAGAGTTTATCTTGCTCTTGATAATATATAGAAGATCGGATATGCCTTTTTTTAATAAGTTAATGGTGGTAGATGTGAAGTTGATGAAGATAGAAGATGCTCGATTCAAGGGTGTAAATATAACCCCATGGATGACATTTTTTATAACAATTTTATTTGCAAGATTGTCATGCTTCTCAATCCCTTTTAAACACATTTAGCAAAGTAATGGCCTCTCTCTTATGAGATTCTCATACTTATCAACTCATTCTAAATGGAATTAACAATTCAATGACCCCTCTCCTATAAGATTCTCAAGCTTCTCAATCTTTATGAAAGGATTTGAAAAAATAATGACCCCTCTCTTATAAGATTGTCACACTTCTCAAACTTGTTCTGGATGGATTTAACAAATCAATGACTTCTCTCTGATCACAAGATTCTCATGCTTCTTTACCTGTGATAAATTTTTTACTATAAATACTTCTTATTCAAAATTACTTTATCTCGTGAAATAAATAACAATTTCAAAAGTTTATCATCCTCGTCTTCCTCCTCAAATGAAGAAGATTATATTCAAAAGATAAATAGTCTTGAAGAAGAGAAAGCAGTGATATGTAATTCCATCACAAATAATAATATGATGATCTAATACCTTCTCAAACACCTCATTAACCAACTTTTTATAGGTGTCTCAGTTACAATGTCTGTTTTCATCAACCGTGATCAGGATGGTGTAGATCGTCAACTATTCAATGATTACTTCTCAGACAATCCATTGTATAATGATGTCATGTTCTAATAGAGATATTAAATGTTTTAATCATTGTTTCCTTCGCATAGTGGATGCAATTTAAGCTCGTGATAACTAATTCCACCAAAGAATGGATCACGCCGGTAGACTTGGATTATCACCTATTCAGAAAGTAACAGTCGAGTTTTAAAAATAGGAATAATTACTCATTTAACGAGCTACTTACTAGCCCAATCAACATACTGTTAAAAAATACAAATACTATAGCAAGTCGCAA